TAAACTATCTAAATTATCTAGACTTATTTGATATAATCATTCTATGTCTTTGCTTTCCTCAGCAAAAGATGACTGCTTCTGGCTTTTTTATTTGACAGAACTTTCCACTGCACGTAATGTGTGCCCCTTTTTTAGCTTACACTTGTATTTAGTACCAGAAACATACTCACCTAATTGCCTCCCTTAATCCATTTATTTGCTTTAGCAAACATATAAACATATATAATTAATGACATTAGCATGATCCACTAAAGTTTGATATTCGTGAAGATAAATACACTGAAACAATAACAATTCAAACTTAAAATAATCTCCGAGATGAACGTACATTTGAAAAAGCAATGGATTTATTTTTCCTTGAAAAATTGATGGATGAATACCCATTCGATCAAATGCTCGTGTTTAAAAATGATATGCTTTAAATAATAACTCATTTCAAAATGTTTTTATTATCTAATATTTGCTCTTTGGGACTTATCAGCCCCTGGGACTTAGGAAGAATTTTTGTTTGAAATAAAACAAAACGGAGGCGCACAGATTTGAAAGGAAATGTATTTTCATCAGTATTAAGACAGTTGGTTTATTTCACCGGAGCAGCTTTTAAGTTGTAAAATAAATTGTGCGAAATAATTGATATTTCTTCGTTGCATAATGTCATGATGCTCCGGGGTCTTCCCAAAATTAAACAATCCCACCCCGTGCCTAGGGTTGCCAAACTTTTTGGAGAGAAGTGTAACTTTATTATTTTTTATCTACTGGTCATATAAATTGTTGGTATGTTTCTGGTAATTGCAATGAATTTTTCCACAAATATTTTTTGGGGGAAATCAAGACCGGGGATTCGTCCGAACCCATCGAACCCCCGGTCCCTACAGCTATGTTGTTCATGTTTGCTATAACACCCATGGTAAACGAATCAGAGTATGAGAATGTTCTGTAGAGAGTTTATTGTTGTTAAAGCCATCCCTAATTTTGGCATATATCAAGTACCCAAGAAACGTCCAATCCGCTGATAACCTGCTGATAACGTATGCACACCCTTTCCTTTGATTGTAGGCCTACTGCCCATGGGTTCCCCCGGAGTTTCTCCACGACAACATTTCTGCGTCAACAAGTACTCTGCTAAAATGATATAGACCTGGATATTGGTATCCTGATTCCAAACCCCTGCATATGCATGGATACAATGTTAAACATTTTCAAAACTAAATTCACCTGACTATTTGTTCAACCTGATTGTATTTTCAAATGTTGGTAATATTTCAGAATAAATAGTTGAACAAATGGAGTAAGATGTAACCAAAGAGAATACAACCAATGGATATTCGTTAAGCTTTTGTGATGGGTACTATGAATAGGCAGACTACTTGTCAATACCATTATTTACCTCAAAACTGCCCTTTGCATGGTTCTAGCTGCATCCTGAACTTTTCGTCGAACTCTTGTTATGAACTGCACCAATGAGGTACCCCTACCGGCTATTAGATCAACGAATATGAAGAGATAGTGATTGAATCGAATATTTCGGACTTCTAATCAAAATGGTGGCAATCCTTTGAAAACATGGTTTTGAATGGTTAATTTAAGTCGGGCGAAATTAACATTTGAGAACATTTGCGAATAAACTATCACTTTCTATTGGTTGATTATGATCGCGGAACTGTAAAATTGACGAGCGACTAATAAAATAGTCGCGCGATCGTTCGCGCGGTTCTGGCGGCGATACTGCGTCATACGATTTAGTATGAGACCCTCGCGATGTTAATGAAGACACAAGCGACAAAATAGCAGCATTAAGTAAAAGTTTGCCACAAATACACAAATCGGTATTAGTCTTTTAATTTATATGTAAACGGAATCTCATTGGTTCCAGTGTTTCCAGATTACAACATGTAAAGTGATAATAATATGAGGTATAAGAGCTTATTGATAAACATAAATGTATAAATGATGTAAATTACTACCTCTCTTGTAAAAAAACTTTGATTGAAATTTTTATACACTTTATTAACATGTAATTACGTTAAAACATGCTCCATGAATAATGGGAAAATAAAGATATGATAAAACGTGTGACTTAACCTCCGAAATAAAATCACACGTCTAAATTACACGTTTTTGACATAGATGAACAAGCAATCACCCATCAACAACACTGCGTTGACCATTATTTTATATGGCCTTCATTTTAGCGCAATGAGGCGCGAGAACTGCCCTTTGCATTCGTTTGACTTCACTTCTTAAAAGAGAGCTGAGTGTTTTTGCATCTTCGGTTTGGTGTTGTTGCATCAATAGTGAGAAACTAAAACCGTGAATTAATCGCTTCTTGCAATTGATGATGCTACTTGTATACCAATGAAACTTTTTTAAAATATAGATCGTGCGCTAACCACAAATGTGTGATTATTGAGAACTCACCCTTGAAATGGGTTTAAATTGGGAAAACAAAATATCTTTCGAAAATCTATCACCAGAAGGCTGGCTATCTTGATGCAACAACACGGTGTTGTTGCACCACGAAACGTAGGCAATAATATTGTATTTTTATATATTATATATGGAGTATATGTGTTGTTGCATCACGATAATCCCCAGTGTCAGTTGAAATCGTATAAAATATTCTTGATGTTTAACAGTTTATGATATTTTTACTTATTTATTATTTATTCAAAAGAAATCTTTAAATACAAAAAAAATAATTTTGAAAAATGACCCCTGCGTAATCCCAAATAAATGATAAACGGTAATGTTGTGTGATGCTCAACAAGCAATACTATGTTTAGTGATATTAGTGCTGCTCTAACAGGAGGAAATTATTAGAATTTTGTCAATTCATTTAGGCTCCGAAAGGCCAATCGCGACAGAAACAGAAGAATGATAGTCTTTGAAAGAGGCGAACAGTATTTGCTATAGTTTCCCGCTCATCCCTGCACCAACAGAATCCGGTATTATCTTTTTCATAGATACATAGAAACATAGATAGACACAGATCGATTACCATGCCATCTTTATTTAAAAATGATTTCTATCGCCCTTAGCCTATGTGGTTTACATTGTCCGCCAGAAGCATTTATTTAAAATCTTAGAATCGAGTATTATCTTTTTCATAGATACAAAGAAACATAGATAGACACAGATCGATTACCATGCCATCTTTATTTAAAAATGATTTCTATCGCCCTTAGCCTCCGCCAGAAGCATTTATTTAAAATCTTTGATCAGCCATCGTAATACATGTATATCCAATTTATCTGAAAATGATTTTAACATTAATTTAATTTATCTATACAGACCATTTCATATCAAAACCGTCTCCCGTGTCAACAGGGTCAACTTTACCAGGCGTGGGGTAAGACGGAATAGGTGAGGTAAGACGGAACGGTCGATATTATCTGAAGGAAATCTGAATAAAATGCTCCGATTTGATGTTTTTTCATATACTGGTACTATACTAGTACTATATTAGTACTTTTATTTTAAGTTCAATAGCACACGTGACGGTATTTTTGTAAAATAACCAATATGGAACGATTTTCCAAAAAGCACTTGCTACCCATGTAAAGATGGTACAATGTTTATTATATTTTAAGTTTAAGAAAAGTTAACACAAAGATTTACCTGTCGACTATGCTCATACACAGATCAACACTAGGTAGGAAACGTTTTCTCTTTGCATTAACACATGAAAAGTTTCCAAATTAGTGGAATGACATTGACCTCATGTCACCTATTCATGGGTCGCCAAGGGCCACAGCACCCTCCAAGGTCCTTGAAACGCCAAAAGACCTAAATATTGACCTTTGACCTTGAGATGACCTTGACTTATAAACCTTGACCTTGACTTCAGGTCACGTTATCATGAGTTGCCAGGGGTCACAGCAGCCCCCTAGGTATTAAAAAGTGATATACCTAGATACTGACTTTTGACCTTGGAATGACCTTGACCTTAGTTCACTTAATCATGGGTCACAGAAGTTCACAACAGCCCCAATGACCTTAAATCACCAAATACCTAGATAATGACCTTTGGCCTTGGAATGACCTTGACCTTGAAAATGAAAATGGGGTAAGACGGAACGATCGTTCCGTCTTACCCCACCACCACGTGAATCTACAAAATGTCGTCTGCTATAAAAATGAGACAGCTAAAAGCTATAATTTTTCTTAAATTATAGGTTTTTAAATTGTCTATTTAGAAATACATAATTTTCTATGTATTACACGTATGTTTTTGATTCTACGGGCGATCAAAACCATATGAAATGTTATAAGAATGGATAAAAAATGATATATCTACCCTTATTAAAAATGTTTCTTGCAGCCGACGAGGAATTGGCAGTTGAATAGAAAGATTACGTGATATATTTTCAAAAAAAGTTAACTTCAGCGACCATTTTTAAACAGTTTCTGTTTAAGAGCCATCGTTCCGTCTTACCCCTCGTTCCGTCTTACCCCGCTCTCCCCTACGTATATAACCATTGCCCGATTGAATTGATATTAATTTCATAAATGATAAAAACTGTTGAATTAAAAAAAAAAAAATGATGAGAACTTTAAATTGAGATAAAATATTCATGTTTCGATTGTAATTATCATGATTGTAATTATTACACGAGGGTTCAATAACATTCAATTCATACTTAACCTCTATGTATTGTTCGAGGTGCATCTTCTTTTGAGATAAAAAAAACGTGGAGTAAAACCTGTCGAATCTACTGGGATCGGCTAGATATTCACAGTTCGAGGTTTTTGGACATAGAAGTCTTTGGCAGATTAAAAAAATCTGATCATATTCAGAGTTATTCGAATGAGATAGATATTCGGCATACGGGTTTTACTGCATCTGTTCATTTATTTACAAGTGGAATAGCACAAGACTTTAACAGTAACAAACACACAGACACTAATAAATCAATTTAGTTTCAGTTTCTTTTTGATTTTTCCTATGACTCAACATATCTTCGTTATATCATAGCCGACATTCCTTCACTTGGTTCGTTATACGAGCAGAAGCCATGGCAACGGGAAGATCAAAAGAGCGGTGCAAATACTGGGACAAATGCTACAGGACAAATCCAGATCATTTTGATAAGTGGCTGCATCCGGGTGACTCGCCGTCAGGCCAGCGACGTGGGGGTAGTAGTCGACATACAGGTAGAAGCTATGGTAAGCTTTGTTTGTTAGGGTGATCAGATGGGACCATTGGATCTGACTGCATTTCATTTTTGCTCTCCTCGGGGAGGATTGGGCCTGGTCAGTTTTAAGAACTAGAGTGCGTGTCCCAAATCACAATTGGTACTCCCATTCAATTTACTTGAACAGGTCGATAATGATGAACCCACTTGCATTAACTTTTGAACTTGAAATGCAGCGAGGATCAACATTTGTCATATTTAGTTAACAGGGGGAGTGGGTGTCTGGGAGTTAACCCCTCATTCACATTTACCTAAAGGATTGGCGTCCGGCGGAAACAACTTCATAAAATCAATATAGGAAATCTAAATCGTACTGCTTATCCCATTCTCTATCGACAATGCAGTGCATTAGCAATGCATAACATTATCACGCGGTACAAACTTCGACCGTTAATTTGAATTTTTGACCTACCGGATGTTTGAAAATCAAGGATTACGAGTCTCATACTGCACCGTTTTTCTTCAAACTTGTTCCATTCAAAGCATCACAAAAATCCCTTTCTAATGGTACATTATTCTCTTAAACAGAGTCCCTACTTCCAGCGGCATTTTGGTCCCCAGCTGTAAGAAGGCCTTCTAACAGCTGGGGACCAAAACGCTGCTTGAACGAGGGACTCTTTACAATAAAGTAATGCACCGACAGAAAGGCAATTTCGTTTTGCTTTTAATGGTATAAGTTTGAAGAAAAACGGTGCAGTATGAGACTCACAATCCTTGATTTTCAAGCATCTGGTAGGTCAAAAATTCAAATTAACGGTCGAAGTTTGTACCGCGTGATTATATAGCTCGAAAGAATCTATCGTCACGGTATGAAAACCAGTTATTTTCTGTTGCCATAGTTACAGAAGCACGAAGACCGGGAAATAATATTTTAGGGACCTTTGAGCTTTGAGAAATGACATACCCTATCTATATTTATGAATCTTGGAAAGACGACCATATATAGAAGTGACACGAAAGGGTTGAAGTGTGTGTGGGGGGGATATGGTTTCTTTTATACACCATAATTCAAAAACAACAATTAGAGGTTATGAAGTGTTATAGATACATAATAACATACATTTTAGTTTTGGTGAAGTTTTAACTAGCATAAAATGTTATGATGGTCTCAGGTTTTAAGTACGTAGGAGTGGTAAGTCCGTTATGAACAGGGTCAATTTGACACATCTTAAAGTACTGTTTACAATATTTTATCAAAAAGGTGTAGATATTAAACGTGCATTGTGTAGCCTTTGCATTAGTTTGATTTTATCCTCATTGAAGAGATCCTCATCAACTAGGGGCGGATTTTAAAACTAAGAAGGAGCGGGGGTGCAAATTTAAAGTCTGAAAAGATTTATACTAATTTAAAGCCCGTTTTCTTGATAAATTGGCCTAAAAATAAAAAATAAAACTAGGACCCAAAAAGCAAAGTAATTATAATGCCCAAAAAGGCCCACTAATTGGGGCTCTACAAATGTTTGGGCCCATTTTTGAGTATACCTTAGGGGGTGGGGGCGGCTAGCTCCTCCCCTTCCCCTAATCCGCCAGTGGGCCCAGGGTAATCCATATCAGGCTTATCGAGTTTTACAACTGGCACCTCTAATGCGTTGGATTGTCGTATGGGGCCAACACGATCCTCAGAGACCCAGAGGGTGCATGAATGCACCTAATTTTCAAGGAGAACGTGGGGTGACGTAAGAATTACAAACGATATTATGTAACACCTTACTTGTGAATCATTGGTAACTATTGGAGGACTCTACTGGTGGAGAATTTATTTAGGGCCCCCAAAATTTTGTAGGGCCTCAAAAATGGGTCTTTTGGGCATAACTTGTCCTTTTTGGGGATTTTTAGGCCAAACTTTCAAAAGATGGGCCTTAATCTTTCGGTTTTAGGGGCAAAAAAGTTTTTCCACGCAAGCGCGAACATTTTTTCCTTACTTGAAATGTGCCCCCCCCCCGCTTGCTAGCTTCTGGATCCACCAGTGATTGTCTGTCTACCTTAGGTACCGTATACATGCAGTACAAACTAAATATGTGTTGACTTCCCGGAACCAAAAAATAATCTAATTTTATCTTAATCCTACCCAAAACATAGCTTATATCGGAATTTCTATAAATACGGATGGGACTTCCAACGATGAATCAAATAATAAATTGACTAAGTACTACTCCAAGGGAAAGCTGACAATTGGAAAATCCATCTTATTATTTCCATCCTTGCTCCAACGGTTATTTCAATTCTTTCTATACCCTTCGTTTGGGCTATAGTATGCTAAAGTTGCTAGCATAGGCCCCGGGAACATGTATAAAATAGCGAGTCGACATCTGTATTACTACTTCTTCTTTCTAAAAGAAGTAGTAATACAGATGTCAACTCGCTATTTTATACATGTTCGCGGGGCCTATGGTTGCTAGAGCAGCAGAGTCCGATCTTGAATGGATATCTCTGGCTTGTGATTATTTCAACCCCCACTAGCAGTGCTCAGTGGGGTATAAATGATAACACGACCCTACTTGTCGAAATGTCAAATTGGTTTTCATCATATACCAATGGATAGAAATCAAGCGATATATTTAATTAAGCATGTATTTTTCATTGCTTCCTGGTCAACTCAACCCCAAGTCAACTCAACCCAAGTCAACTCAACCCTTAGTCAAGTCGACCCCAAGTCAAGTCGACCCTTAGTCAAGTCGACCCCAAGTCATCTCGACCCTTAGTCAACTCGACCCCAAGTCATCTCAACCCTTGGTCAACTCAACCCTTAGTCAAGTCGACCCAAATGATTTTACTTGTTTTAAGTAGATTAAAATACAATATAATCCCATTGTTTGTGCAGTTTGATTTGAAATCAAACTTCAAAGAAAAAAACATTTCTGCCACCTATAGATCAAAACGAAGATTTGAAATGGATGATAAAATCCCAATCTGATTGTTTATGACACCTGACATATGAGTAAGATAATGGAAAATAGAAAAACATAAATCCCATTGTTTGTTCAGTCTTGTTTTAAAATCTAGATTCAAAAAATAAACATTTCTATCGCCTATAGCTCAGAAGGAAGATTTGAACTATATCATATTGTTTATTATTATTATCAAATTATAAAATCATTCAATACAAAGTAATGGATGGATGTTGGCACAATGCACATGTTGCATAAGTTACCTGTTGTCAAAAATACTGTTGCAACAATTTCGGTATAACAGAAAAGTGTATAGATAATTTTTTTATTTCAGAGAGATAAAACAAGCTCAAATATGAAGGGGTGAAATATATGTATAGCATCGTGAATAGCCCCATTAAGATTAATCAAATATTATTTTGGTAAATAAATGTCATATTTATAAAAAATTATAAATGCGTTAAGCACAAACTTCAATAGTTAATAATTTTATTTTGGAAAATTAGCATTTTAATCCCTCATTCTTTCTAAATTCATCAATATCATACCATGAAAATAGTATATCTATTTGTTTTTTATGGTTGGGTCGAGTTGACTAAGGGTTGAGATGACCAAGGGTTGAGATGACTTTGGGTCGAGTTGACTAAGGGTCGAGATGACTTGGGGTCGACTTGACTAAGGGTCGACTTGACTTGGGGTCGACTTGACTAAGGGTTGAGTTGACTTGGGTTGAGTTGACTTGGGGTTGAGTTGACCAGTTACCTTTTCATTTATATATTTTCTACGAGTTCAGAAATGGGAAACAATTATTACTGTATTAGCCTACTGATATTATTGGTTAATTTTATCAAAATCGTTCACATATCAGTATAAATTAATTAAGGTGTCATTCTCCAGTACCGGTTGTAGTGTATCACTCTACTTTACCTAACCCCTAGAAATGCATAAGATAATCTGTTTGTCCAATTGTATTGTGTGGTATATTTTTGAAAGTACCTTATTAACATTTAACGGCATCCGTTAAACCATTAATAAGGAACAGACAAAAAAACAAATAACATAATCATTACTAATAAGCCAAAAGGGCTGCTAATGAACACCCAATGCAAGGTATAGTAGAGTGTGTATGACTAATTTCAATTTTTGGTAATTATTGTCACAAACATGTTTGTTAAGAACTTCATTTTGCACATTCTGATGATAAAAGTTGTCTTAAATATGATCTTTTTAAATGTTTTTCTGTATAATTAAGAACCGCTTTCAATAGTTATTCAAGTAATATTGTGAATCAATTTTTGAACGTTTGTTTGTCTTTCCATGATATTGCCCACTGTGCCTTTTATAAAAGTATGGGTTACTTTTCTTTCAGACGAAGACCGCCATATTGACGAAGTAGTAAAGAACGTGAAAGACGGCCTTCCTTTGCGTCTTGTTCTCCTAGGGAAAACCGGCAATGGGAAAAGCTCAACGGCAAACACAATCCTTGATTGTGACGAATTCAAAGAAGGCGTTGGATTTAAATCGGAGACAACCACAAGTTCTTACGGTGAAACATCATTGGCTGGACGAAAAGTGACCGTCATTGACACCCCGGGGATATGCGACACAAGTAAAGATGATACAGCAATTTATAAGCAAATAGCACGTGGAATGATCCTCGCAAGTCCCGGGCCTCATGTCTTTTGTATTCTTGTTAAGATTGATCGTTTCACCGAAGAAGACGAAGAAGTTATCGAAACGGTGAAGCGATTCTTCGGCGACAACATGTTGAAGTTTGCCATTGTAGTCTTCACGAGGGGAGATGAGATTGAACGTAGCGGTGAAGACTTCAAGGCACTCCTAGAAGATGCCCCACCTGGTGTGCAAAGCCTGGTCAAAAACTGCGGCAATCGCTACTTCGTTATCAACAATCGTGCCGATAATAGGAAAGCGGAGGGCGAGAGGCTAGTTAAATACGCATTGAGGAAAGGACTAGGAAGCGACTTCTGCAAAGACCCGCATGGACTTGCAAAGAAACTTCAAACAGCCGTGGCTAAAAAACAGCGTAAGAAGGGCCGTGTAGGAACCGATGAAGATCTGGCGAAGGAGTCTGCGCAAGAAAGTTCGGGGTTCGACCTGCCAGGCACTATTTTGACCGTTATGAAAACCGTCCTTCCTCCTCCCGTTGTTGCCGTTGCTGAGGGCATAGTCGGCGCAGTAAAGGCAGACAAATGTAATATCATGTAGAATAGTATTGACTTTTAATATCTCAATATGGTACATGTACTTAACAATATCCATCCCATGAAAGGACAGGAACAACAGCCTTTAAGAGCATAAATAGCAGGCCCGTAGCCAGGGAGGTTCGCAGGGTTCGGGCGAACCCCTCCCCCCTGGCCAAAAATTCTTGCAAAATCATGCAGTTCTTCACCATTTTGAGCACTTCTCAAGTAATTTTAGCCATATTTGGCCAAAATAGTCAAATGTGAACCCCTCCTTGAAATTTTTGAAAACTTAATCCCCCTTGGCAAATCCTGGGTACGGGCCTGAATAGCTATATAATGGATATATGTTGTCTTTAGAACAAGTGTGCAGAGTGGTGGATAATACTTATAAGCACATCCATTTCTTCAACATTACTGCAACATGAACAAGGAACATAGAATATGTGGTTCATTCTCCATAAGTAGAAAATCCATTCTTAAAAAGCATGTCTTGTTTTCAGAGACACAAAGCAAAAAACACCGATTTTTGACATTTATAAAGGTCAACAAGGTTTGAAAAGACACTCATTAGTGACATCAAAATAAAATAATGGACCTCATTTTTCAATTAATTTGATATAAATGCAATCCTCGTTAATCACCATGTGTGTAAATACTAAATATTAATTGTATCTGAAATAAGAAAGACAAATCCTCATGGATTTCTGAATAAGAACAGACACTAATAGCCTAGATGCAAGTAGAAAAAAATATTCTTGATTTACGTATTTAAAAATTTAAAATTCAGTCAAAGTGATAGCATATTTGAAATCTACATGTAAAAGTCCATCTAGAAAAATAAATGTATGTTTATCAAAATTTAATTTTTATTGAAAATGTGTGACTTTCAGGCTGGGGAGATTCCCCGCAGACCCCATGTTATAAACCGGTGTCAGAGTAAATAAAGTCTCTCTGAATGTATGGTAAAGAGGACCATAAATCCCAGGATGTGTTGTCTCAACTGGACTATATTTTCTACATGGGTATACAATATAACCCCGGACTATATATATATACTGACGGACTATAGATATTTTCCAGGACTTATAGTCTAACGGACCATGTAGTACGGTCTACATCTACGTGGACACCGGGGGTTATAAAATCACCAAAGTAAAATATCTTTTTTGGATTGGACAGAATGACAGATACGATTTTCTTTTACTGGACTTACATGTATCTTAATTTGTATATCTATCAGATACATAAGGGTTATGTACTGGGAGGTTTTGGATACAGTTGTATGGGGTTATCCAGAGGGAGATACATGTATGCATATCTACCTGAGGGAGCGTAGGGACCGAAGGGATGAACCCAATATCCAAACCGACCGTACATAACTGCTTTATCCTATACCAAGTAGAGTTTTCAGGGGCATATGGCCATTTCAATAGTACAAGGTGTAAAAATAAACAAATCATTCATATGCAAAGTCATTTTATTGCATTTCCACTACTTACCGGAAGCGGGAAGATATGCACTGAAGCGAGAAGATATGCACCGAAGCGGGAGATATCAGGCCCGTAAGACACTTTTCTCGAAGGGGGGTGCGGTTTTTACTAAAGAGAATATGAAATTGTCAATTTTTGCCGTGTAAATCAAATCGCGTAAGTCAGAGGGGGGTCGGTTACTCCCTATATTGGGGCCAGTCAGCCTATTTTGTAGTATTTTATTGTTTTTAGACTAAATATTGAATGAGCAATTTGGAGAAACACTGGAATAGGGGGAAGGTGTGCTAGAAGGGCATAAATGTTTACCCGAAACTTTTTACCAGTTCAAGATCACATTCAGTCATTTCTGGACACGTTTTTAATCAATATAATCAATTTAAAGAAATTTAGATTTTCAATCATTTTCTCCTTAGGGGAGCGAGGGGGCAGCACAATTCAAGATGCTGTCTGATTAATTCTGAGCACTTTTAATGTGTTTGAGTAAATGAATGCTTTAGTTTTTGGGGTAGGGTGCCAGAAATTTTTATGATTTCATTATGTCACTTGGTGACTGTTTAAGTGTTCAAATTGTCCAATTGTTTTGTAAGGGGTGTGATGAGTGGCCACTCCCCGTAGAAAATTTTACACTTTTAAGACGCTATTTGGTGCTTTCTGGGCACTTTCAAAGTGTATGAATCAATGAAAAAAGGGAATTCTTTTGGGGGTGTCAAAGAGGATGAGAGGGTGGAGTGTGGGGTGCAAGAGGGGGACCAAATGGTTGTCCCCCAAAAACTTTGACCATATCAAGGTGCTATTTGATGATGTCTGGGCACTTTAAAAATGTCTGAGACAATAAGTGAGATTCAGAATTTTTTCAATTGTTTTGTGGGGATTTTGAGGGATGGCAACTCTCCAAAAAATTTACAATTTTAAGATGATATTTGGTGCATCTGAGTACTTTTAAAGTGTATGAGTCAATAAAGAAATTGAAAAATAATCGTTTTTCTCAATTTTTGAGGGTTGTCAAGGGGGGGAGTATGCCAGAGGGGGAGGTTGGGTGGGGATGCCAGAGGGCGAGTAAAAAGCATTGCCTATATCAAGGAGCTATTTGATGATGTCTGGGAACTTAAAAGTGTCTGAGACAATACAAAAAATTCAGAATTATATCAATTGTTTTGTGGGGGATGTGAGGGGTGGCCAACTCTCCTAGAAAATTTTACAATTTTAATATGCTATTTGGTGCTTTCTAGGCACTTTCAAAGTATATGACTCAACAAAAAGATATGAAAAATCAAAATTTTTCAATTTGGGGGGTTTAAAGGGGGGGGGCAGAGAGCGAGGTGTGGTGGGGGTGCCAGAGAGCGAGGTGTGGTGGGGATGCCTGAGGGCGAGTAAGTGTTAGTCTCCAAGAATCATTGACTATATCAAGGAGCTATTTGATATCCTTGAAAATGTATAAAATAAATTCGGAACTTTCAATTGTTTTGTTTTGTGTATGAGGAGTGGCCCACTCCCCCTAGAAAATTTAAAAATTTTAAGACACTATTTGGTGCTCTCTGGACACTTTCAAAGTGTATGAGTCAATTAAAACATTTGAGAAAATAACAATTTTTTCCATTTTTTAAAGGGGTGTCAAAGGGGAGGGGGTGCCAGAGGGGGAGGTGGGGTGGGGATGCCAGAGGGGGAGCAAGTATTAGTCCCCCAGAAACATTGACTATATCAAGGAGCTACTTGATGATGTCTGGGAACTTTAAAAGTATCTGAGACAATACACAAAATTCAGAATTATTTCAATTGTTTTGGGGGGGATGTGAGGGGTGACCAACTCTCCTAGAAAATTGTACATTTTTAATATGCTATTTGGTGCTTTCTAGGCACTTTCAAAGTACTAATATATGACTCAACAAAAAAATATGAAAAAATCACAACTTTTTTTCAATTTGCGGGGTTTAAAGGGGGTGGGGGTGCCAGAGAGCGAGGTGGGGTGGGGATGCCAGAGAGCGAGGTGGGGTGGGGATGCCAGAGGGCGAGTAAGTGTTTGTCTCCAAAAATCATTGACTATATCAAGGAGCTATTTGATGATGTCAGGGGACTTTAAAAGTGTCTGAAACTATACACAAAATTCAGAATTGTTTCAATTGTTTTGTGGGGGATGTGAGGGGTAGCCAACTCTCCAAGAAAATTTTACAATTTTAATATGCTATTTGGTGCTTTCTAGGCACTTTCAAAGTATATGACTCAAAAAGTAAATATGAAAAAATCACATTTTTTTCAATGTGGGGGGTTTAAAGGGGGTGGGGGTGTCAGAGAGCGGGGGGTGGGGTGGGGATGCCAGAGGGCGAGTAAGTGTTTGTCTCCAAAAATCACTGACTATATCAAGGAGCTACTAGTATTAATGATGTCAGGTCAATTTAAAAGTGTCTGAGACTATACATAAAATAAATTCAGAACTTTTCCATTGTTTTGTGGGGGGTGTGAAGGCCTAGGGGTGTCCCACCGCCCCCCCCCCTCAGAAATTTTTGCAATTTTTGAGATGCTATTTGGTGGTTTCTGGGCATTTTCAAATTGTATGAGTCAATGAAAAAAAAATGTAAAAAAAAAATTTTTTCAAAATCTTTTTTTTCAAATTTTTTTTGGGGGGTGTCAAAGGGGGGTGCGGTCGCACCCACCGCACCCCCCCCATCTGACGGCCCTGTGATATGGAGGTTCTGGATATGGAAACCTCAAAATCAGGATACGGGATATATCTTACCAACTTATCTCCCTAAAACTCTACTTGGCATAGGATAAATAAGAGTATTATGAAAGTAGAACCACTAAAACTGATGAATATTCAAGTTAAGGGAAACGTTCTATACCCTGTCATGCCACCTGGTGGTGAAACTGATGAACTACCTACTCACATCTAAATTATTGGGTTAATTGTAAATCGGCCTACCAGTTATGTTTTCCTTTATAGTGAATAAGTCCATTTAAAGTCCCCGATAAATCGGGCTACGTTACTTCCTGCGAAAGCTATTTGGATTTTGATATAATAGCTTTCCCACGGAGCATTTGGACAGCTCAATGATCGTGACCTTTGAAATCGAATTAAGTCGATCCGCGGCTTACTTTTGGTCTCTAACTGTGTCTTACATCAGTATCATCAATCCGTGTAAGTATTGGAGCGCTGGAGTACTTCTTTTTCGATCAAGACTTGTAATTGTTAGTCGAGTGAATCGTTTTACTGCCAAATTCCAATATGGCGGTTTCTGCTCGGACATTTTCGTAAATCTCCGGAGGTTGTCCGAACCTAACTAATTTTCAAAATTCATTTCGTTCGTTGCGTATCTCGCACCTAGCAAACCGCCATATTGGAAATAGGTCTGTAAAACTTTAACTCGATGAACAATTTACAAGTCTTGATCGAAAAAGAAGTACTCCAGCGCTCCAATACTTACACGGATTGATGATACTGATGTAAGACACAGTTAGAGACCAAAAGTAAGCCGCGGATCGACTTAATTCAATTTCAAAGGTCACTATTGATCAGCTGTTCACTACTCCGTTTGAGAGCCGTAAGTTTCAAAATCTAACATGGCTCTCGAAGTGAGTAAGGGCTACGTATACCGCCGTGTTTACATTTAGTACACGGAATTCACGTTTCTTATAATTTTTGATGGAACAAATCGTGAAACTTTGTGGGGTGGTTCTGTATGGTATTTCAAGCAATTTTAGTCGCCTGTACGAAGATGTACAAGCCTCATTTTGGAAAAATGTCATGTTATACACCTCAGCCATTTTCGGGGAGGGGGTCAAAAATGAAAAAAATCATAGCTATCCAAATTTTAAGATATCAGGCCATTTTCTGATAAATTTGATGATTGCAAAGAATATGTCACACTCAAAAAAATTATTTGAGCTAAATTTATCTTATAAGTCTCTTTTTAACCCTTTGACAACCAATATTTTGAAATGTCTAATAGACAAACACTTTCTAAAAGGATCAACATTTTTTTAATTCCTTGATAATTTTTACTGTAAAAAATCACAGATGATGTGGAGGCTATTCTTAATACCCATGCAAAATCATGATAAAAATATTGAGTATGAACAGAATAAAAAATTCTTTAGCACACTGGTGCTTCTTCCAGGATTGAAGGGGTACCATTGAGGATTGATAAAATCTAGCAAGTCATATATCTGAGCATATCACTTGACTTCAGATCCATGTAGGGTACCTCAAGACATGCAAAATTTGATTGTTGATATTTTATGAATCACTTTCAAAAGTGCTGATTCGGCACATTTTAACATTTCTGAGTCTGAGTTTGACATTATGTTGAGAACTGTCTAATGGTTCACTTGACAAAAGAGCAATAGTTCTAGCTTATACATCATATGACATTAGAAGAATTATTGACTAAATACTTAAGTTTCACTAAAATATTGTCATCCATATAAAAGAATATGCAATAGCATAGATGAATTAGAAAAACACACGGAAAGTATCACAACAGGC